GTTTGTATATTTGAGTACTAATTGATGCCATAGACCAGGTTGTAATTTGACATAGTGCAGTTATTGATAAGTTGCAGTTATTTGTTTGTGCAATCTGTGCGTTTGTTTAGTAGTTAATCCTATGTGCCGATGTATATATTGGACGGTTGCATGTGGAAATAAAGAAGCAAATGATACAGAAGTGTATGGTATGCGTTTATTGTTGCGCGTCATCAGGGTCCTCATGTTTAGCCTGCCGCGGCCATTGGTTGGAGTAGCCGCAACAGGTGCTTTATTAGAAAAAGACTGATTCAGGTACTAATGTGGAATGCTAACTGACACTGATAAACCCATTAAGACTTTTAAATGTAATTAAAGTTTTAGTCTCATTTCTGATCCATTTATTTTGCTCCAACATTTAATCTCTACTTGCTGTGGCTGTCGGGATGTGAATATCTACTTGTAATGTTCACTGAAGTTCACTGAAGTTCCTTACAGAGCACAGCTTCAGTTGCTGACATATAGAAATATAAATGAAATATAGATTAGAGGGGAAAATTACCTTCACATGGTCTTTTTAGACCTTGCCAACACCTTTGTGTCAGTTCCGCATGAGATCTTGTGGATGGCCTTCAGCTATTTCAGCGTACCAAACCACATCACAGGACTGGTCAAGACCTATTTTCAGGATTTACAGTTTTGTGTCACAGCTGAGAACACCACCACAGCCTGGCAGCACCTGGAAATTGGAGTTATGGCAGGCTGCATGATTTCCCCTCTGGCATTTATCATGGCAATGGAGTTGGTCATGCGGGGATCTCGGTGGGTAGGAAAGGAAAACTGACAGCCTAGCAATTCTAGATCAGTGGAGAACCAATTCCAACAGTCTTAGAAAAGCCCATAAAGAGCCTAGGACGGTGGTACAATGCAGACCTCAATGATACGTGGCAACTAGAACAACTAAGGCAGAACTTGGCTAATGACCTCCGAGGACAGAGGCTGGAAGATTAAGGTGCGCCTGGTGGAAGTGGGGTCCGGGGGCTTTGTTTCCAGTGCCACAGAAAAACAGCTTAGAGAGATTGGGATCAGAGGACAGACGCAACACCAGTCACCGATCCGGCTGGGAGGTGTGGGAAGCCAGATTGGGCGCCCCCCTTCCGGCTCTATTCTCTGCTCTCTCCTATATTGTCCCTTTTTGTCTTATTCCTCTCTATCACCTTTTCTATCCCTTTGAAGAAGTGAGGCTCCATAAATTCTAAAGAGGTTAGTATTATTTCTCAGTTGCAGTGAATAGATAGAAAATAAACTGTAGAAAACTAAACGGCAGAAAGAAGAAGAGAAATAACAATTTAGCATAAACCAGTGACACACTCCGGGGGCTGATCAACCCTGGCAGGCCCTCCTTGGATGAGAGTGTCTAGTGATAATGGCCGAAACACCCGAAGAATCCAAGGTCCACTACTGACGATGCGTCCCAAATTCTAATATGATAATCTAGATCAGATATCTAATTCCTAAACCTAACCAAGGAAAAAAAATTGCAGATTAGCTTGGGTATAAGACCGAAAGACGATGTGTGCCGCTGGCAAAGTTTCTGGGCTGCCTTTCCTCATAACAGCCACCCCTCAAGATTTTTCCCATTTAAAGCAATGCATTATCAAGGACTGTAACATCTAGTCCTTTTACTGAATGAGGTGGGAAAATTAGAGTTGATTCAGTGGCCTGTACATTAATACTTTAGAGCAAGGGTTTCACACTTCAGTCCTCGAGGGCCAGTGTCCTGAAACGTTTACATGTTTCCTTGCTGCAGGTGGGGTGGATGTGAATCTTTCTGCAATTTCTGTGTGTGTGTGCTAAGCTTCATCCACTGTTTACAAAAGCACATTCTCTCTTCTGGTACTGCACTGGCAGTGTTTTTTGGGATCATCGGGTGATGATGATGGATCAAAATTTGATCATACTTTTCTACAACCATAATGCTGCTAAATTTTTTTTATATCTATTCAAAATCTAGAGCAACAGTCCAGTTTAGTCTGAGAGTCCAAAGTCCAGATGATTATAAATTCCTTTTACTGAAAACCAAATGGAATCCAGAGGCAGTGATTGCAGTAGCAGCTCCGGGCAAACCAGAGATTATTATAATTAACAGAAATCGGTTTTCAACTCTATTAATACAAATACAGCAGTGACAAACTAAAAAAAACACAAAAATCAGACACAATTAAAACAATAAAAAGTAATTTTAAAAATCTGTATAAAATGACTTTTTAAAATGACAAAACAAAGCTGATACTGAATACTTAGGTATGCTCAGTTAATGAGTTTGAATTTGAGTCTAGCAGTAACAAAATTTATATAGACTTATTCTAACTTTAAAACAATGAGCCACTTACTCATGATAACCAGTACTGACACCTCCTGACTAGAGGCCAAAA